GGGCACCCACCCAGCCCCGGCAGAGCGACAGCTTCGTCTTTGAGCTGGCGGCCACCGGCGTGCCACCAGCACTAGCATCCCTGGGGTACAGCACTGAGCCCTACAATGCCTCGAAAGCCTACAGTGTCACCCTGCTCACAGCACCCTCGCCCCGGGTGCCCCAGCCCCAGGGCACAGCAGGGAGCAGCCCCAATGCCAGCAAGTTGGGCATCCCCCCCACCGCCTGGCTTAGCCCCGGGGCTACCACCAGCCCCAGCCCTGTGGAAGGGGGCACCTTCCTCAGCTTCATCGAGGCCAACATGTTCAGCATCATCATCCCCATCTGCCTCATCTTCCTCCTGCTGGCCCTCATCCTGCCTCTGCTCTTCTACCTGCACAAGCGCAACAAGACAGGGAAGCACCACGTCCAGGGCACTCCCTCCTCCAAGGCCAAGAACGGGGCCGTGCCAGACCAGGAGATCTTCCGGAGGACGGACCCCAACCAAGGCATTCCCCTAACGACTGTCAATGCCCTGGAGGGCAAGGGCACGAGTCCCCCGCCCCAGGGCACGGGTCCTGGGGCACTGCCGGACCCCGAGCTCCTCCAGTACTGCCGGACTTCCAACCCTCCCTTGAAAAACAACCAGTACTGGGTGTGAAGGGCTCAGACACAGCGGCATGAGACCACCTGGGGGTCCAGAGCCTCCCAGAGCTCCACCTGCCGCCACCTCCTCCTGGCTCTCCTCCTCCTCCCTGGGAGCTGGCATCCCACAGATGCAGGAGGGCCCTGGGGATACGGGGGCTGCCGGTCCAGCCCCCCCAGGAGCCTCAAATCCCCCAGTGACTTTGGGCAGGGGAGTGGGGCACTGCATAAGCAAGTGGGGACAGGCAAAATGCCTGAGCATCCCTGGGGAACACTAACTTTGGGTGCTCATTTGGGCCACCCAACAGTGGCCACAGTGCTGGGCGGCACCTGATGGCCCTGGTCCCCACCGAGCCACCCAGGCAGGTCCAGTGGTGGGTCCTCCATGTGCAGCACTGATCTCCACGGGGGTGTTTGCCACAGCTCTTGGCGCAAGAGGGAGGATGAGGAGCGGCTTACGCTGAGTCAGGCCGGGGATGAAGCTGCCCAAATCCCCCAGGGCTAGGCGGGCTGAGACACTGGAGCGGAGGCTTGGAAAAAACTCTGTGGCCAATGCCAAGGGAATGTAAAAGTCCCCACCCACTTGGAAAAAAAAAAACTCGCCTCGCTCTTTCTCTGCATGCTTGCCCTGTGCTTCATAAAGCAAATTGCACCGAGCCTCAGGGGGGGGTGCAGAACAGGTAGGATGTCCTCGGCAGGGAGGGATGGCAGGAGCTGGGCAGCTTGAATCCGGAGAGGATAGCGGAAAACCGGAGCCAGTGTGGTTTTCCACTGTATACTCCAGTACAGCAGAAGTAAACAGAATAAAGTGCCTTTTCCGAGGTGCATTGCAATTTTCGTAAGCCGTCTCCCTTGCCAGGCCTGTTTCAGCCCAGCAAGCTGCCGAGTGACATTTGGAGGTAATGGACCAAATTCTGGGCTCTTGCTCAAATTTTCCCCAGCCTGGAGTCCTAAAAACTTAAATAGAAATTGTCTGAGGAAGAGTAGAGGAAAAACTGAGCGCGGAGTTCAGGATGGGACCCAACAATAATACCCTGCATTACCACAGCTGGGAAGCTCATCACAGGGCACATCCCACTCCCACAACACCGACGGGAAGCTGAAGTGAGCCCCCAGGGATCACAGGGGGATGTGTTTTACACTTGCACCCCTCTCACCCAGGTTAAAATCCATCCCACGATCCCCCCCCCAAACCAGCACCCCATGCGGTCCCACTCCAAGGCTGCAGCAGAGCCGGGATGTTTGCTTGGACCACACCAGCCGTTTTCCTGGCTGCATTTATGGTGCCAATTGTTTGCCAAGCAGTAAATCACACCTGCCCCGCTACAACTGGCCGGGGACGGCAAACACCGCC